CTCCCAATTTTTACATAGGTGGTGCAGGAAAGACAGATTACAAGCTGCCGTCGAAGTTAAACAATGGCCCACAAGCTGTAAACACCACTGATTTACCCCATCCAAAGAGCAACATTAACCAAAGTTTCCGGGCTTTCATGATGCTTATATAACTAGCAAATCTTATGTTTTCGTCCATTTTCGACGTAACAATTTGAATATCTCACACGGTTAAGTCGCTTGGCCTGTAACGCATCGTTATTCATTGCACTCGCTTCTAGTTTACGGCGAATTCACAGAAAATGAACCAAACGCGCTACAAACGAAAAATAATGAAGGGTTTCTTTGATCCCTTCTTTCCTGAAGTGGCCACATCCAAAGTGCGCTCAAATGAAATGATCACAAACGCCATTATTCAACAATCTGAAAACTTAAGATCATAAGTGCTCATATACTTTAAGCAGTGTGTTGGGATTCGTTCCATAAAAAAATTGTGTCATCAAAATGTTAGTCGCCTCACAATTCAGGTACGTTATCTTTTGAAACAGCTGTATTCAGCCGTCACATCGTCCATAATACGCTAAATTATCAAAACCGGAAAGTTGGCTGTTACAGTCTCCTCACTCAAACAATAAGTCCCTATTTGCGTCCGTATCAAACAGGGCTGGTTCAACACATTGAATAGCAAATGTCTGCAATTCACACATAAATAGATAGAGAGAAGTCGCGTTTCTTTACGCTATACAACAAACTCTGGTCAACTAAACGAATGGGGTGAAAACCATGATCGTCCAAAGTAAATCCCGGTGTCCTGGTAGGAGTTCGTGCCTTTGACTTCCAGTTAGTTCAAAGCGGTTTCGGGCGCCAGAAATTCAGTGGAATGATGGTGATCAAGCCCATCAGATTCATCGATGAAATAACCACCAATCATGTCACTAAGTTATCCTGATACACTTGTCTGGATTCTCCGAGATTCTCAAGGGACCAGCTGTCGCCGATTTTAGTCACGCAGTTTTTACGTAGTTTTTGTCCAACAAAATCCCGTTTCAATATTCCATAAAGAAGTAGAGCTAAACTTAGACCATTTAGTAAGCGGTCGCTTCATCCATGCCGTCATATTCGTCCCGAAAAATTCAAGTCTTTTCAGGACTCCGAACCAATTCCAGATTAAAAGAAACAATCTATTCTGCTCTGCTTGACCGTGATTTTCATGAATTGGACCTCAAGAAGCACAACCCACATAGAGATATTTTTACTGTACGCTAATTAACTTCATTTTGTAATCGGCATTTTGGACTCAAGTGAGTGAGTTCCAGTCTGAGACAAAATGAAACTGCACTGAAAAAATCGCGTTTCACAGAATGTACGTCGAAACTATAGCGAGACCCAGATAACAGTGTAGTAGAAAGAAGTGAGGTGTAAGCTAGCCGTGAGCGCGTGAACCATGCTGTCACCAGTAAACATCCTGGGTATAAAACCATCTGAAGCTCACATACACGCACATATTGCTTGTGGGTGTTTTCCCTTATGAAGACATAGGTTTTGGGCTATTAACTCTAAATTCCACAAGTTGAGAACAAAACCAAACACCTTAAAAGCTCGGTGAAGAAAAACGTGATGGAAAATCCGAATTTCGAGGACCTACAAAATGTGCATCGCTGCCCATGCCAGACATTTTTTCTATGCCGAGGTTTTGGATTTGGGGAAAGTAAATGGGATCCTTCAACTTCAAACCATTATTATCTAGTCCGTAAGATCCGTTAAAACATCCGGTCAGCTGTCATGAGGTCAGGCAAACGAAGTATCCATCGGAAAGATATGGTAGAACGACAGTTACTTAGATTTGATCTCCTCTGCGGTGGCATCTACAAACAAATCAGGTCATTCCACTGTAAGCAAGCTTTTACAGGGCATCCATATTATGTATTGAGACCAGTGCGTTCCCAGAAGATATATGAACACGGCACTGGCGATTCGGTGAACGTGAATGTGGTGTAGACTGGATATCAAGCCTTTAGAAAGTCTGCCTGACCAATTACTCGGTGAATCAGTGGTTTTTCATGTCTTATGATACTGTCGCGCCGATTTTCATCGGAACGGTACGTAACTTTGAAAACTCCCTAAATAAAAGGTACCTAGAATTTCGGGGACTCTGTGTTTTTCCGAAAAGGACACCTAGTATATTTTCACAGAGGAAACTACTCACAAGGTTGCTGAAAACTCTTCACAGGCCCACAACCGGTTTCGTCCTTCTTGGGGCATCTAACATATTTTGTACCCTTCGGTAAGGTAATGCCCGAGGCTGACCGTATCTCGTATACATTTCGCTGTTCCATATGAAATTTCTATATCATTTCCAAGTATTTCTTGCAATCGCCCTTCACCATAGGACGAACATTATCGTGGTGAGTGTCACTATGAGAAAAAAGAATGACTTTTGTAATTGTCAACTTCTCTTTATACGCATTCATATCAGTGAGCAAACCCTCGCTAGGCAAGGCCATATAATGTGAAAAAAATGCTATGCATGACCATACCCTGAAACCTTAGTGGGAATGAACGCTTTCTTCAATCTAAGGAAATCGTTTTTCCCATTTAACCTGGGTATTGCCGGTTGGTGTTGAGGAGTAAATATGTTATTATTAAGAAAGTGCTAGACATCGGTAAGGAAGTTCCAACACATCCACAATCCAATAACAGTTGGAAACTAGGACCAATGTCAATTCGCGTGCCGATTCTACCGCACTTGAATTCCCAAAATATAGACCCAGTGTTGTTGTAGAGCTATTTCTCATGCGGTTAAAAGAGAACCACTAAAGAATAGTAATTGAACCAATCTCTTCTCAGCCATCTCTATCGATTTACCACAGTGGATGAGCTCACATTGAGAGATGATAGACTTCCATGCTTCTCTTCGTCTCCCTATTATTATTCATACAGAACCCACACCTAATAGTATCGTGAAACAAGTCTCCGGTCTGTCTTTGGCCATTGATGTAGAGTCCAGTTGAATAATTCACTCGACATTACACCTATGGAATAGTTGTGAAGAAGCTGATCAGGCGACTGAATTGACTTGAAACGTGAACGAGCATGCAACGACATATGACTATCTAACATGTGACTATCCCATTTCTTTTTCCCCTCAATCAGGGCGTTCGCGGTAACGTGTTGGGAGGTAATGACCTTGGGAGCCGATCCATTTTATGGTCGTGCCAACGTGGATGTGATGAATTTGGTGATTGGTGGTCACGTGTTGGGAAGACCGGAGAATTGTCCGGAAGAACTGTAAGTATTGTTTGTTAAGGTACAATGCGCTCAGAAACGAGGTAAATGAAATTAACAATTTATGTCTATTTTCTACGAAGATACATGACCTGGTATTCTAATGGCTGTAGCTCTACAGTGTGAAGCATTTTTTCGCTTGGGAGGTTTTCCTTCTGGCCGATCCGGTTTAATTTCTGAAGACCCCAACATTTCTCGTGACATGCGACCTCCGCCAGTGTTGGAACAATGATTTTGATATTGTTGCGTCGAATCACTAACCTATTACAGTCGTTCTTAACTACGATCTCAAAAGCAAACACCACATGGTGTTTCGAAGGAATAGTGGTTAGAATGTTTAAGTCTTGAGGGGGGAGCGGCTCAAATTGTTGTGACCGGAAGACCACAGTTCAATCTCAGGCAACAGTTTAGATCTCCAGAAAGACATGTTGAACAATTACGGCTCCAATAGCCTGCTTCTGATCAACATACATGACAAGTATATGGATATATTTTCTCAGACCCACTTATTCCCGTTTTGCTTTCCGCTTCAGCTACAACCAGATGCTGCAATGTTGGAGTCGATTCACCGAAATGCGACCCTCATTCGCTGACTTGGCAAAGAAGATGGTCGAATTTGTTAAATTGTCACAAGAGAGCGACAGTTCGTTTTCCGGACCGTTTATCGTCTCCCTCCCGTTGCCACGAAGTTTACCAGGTGAATGACCAATTTTCATCTACCGGTTTATCGTTTGCGTTGGACGACAAAATACGACTACCTTATAGAATTACGAAATTCTGGGTTCATCTTTAACCTCGTTGAATGAAAGAGAACCGTTTTGTCAACAAAACTGACGAAGCAAAAAATTCTTAGTCAGTAGGAGACCAAAAAGTTGCAAAAGTTCCCATACTTCACTGAGACAAAACTACTTCCATTTGTCATAAGGGAATTCCATCCAGTTCCGAACGAACCAATTTCTCCGAATTGCTTGAATCGAAACGGATAGTGCTGGCATGCCTTTAGGACAGGAATGGATGGTAAGAGCGACCCAGTGAATGAGAAACAGGCTGCAGATGCGAAATTACTCGGTAAGGAAAATTACGTAGAAACTGAATACCAAACTTCGAGTAGGAACAGCAAGAGCAACAAGCTCAAACTGAGGCTGCAGCGAATGACATCATGCAAATTAGGATGTCTATCGGACGTTTGCAATACCACTTTCAAATTAAGTGAACAAACTGCGCACCGAACTGCCAAGTTTGGTGCCCTTCTGCTTGGTACAAACCTTGTTGCGGCAGATGACTGTATCTGCGTCGCTACCTGTTACCAGTCCACAAAAAAGTGGGAGAGGAATTCCCTATGCTCAAAGAACTGTTAGGTGCAGATATTCTTACCAGTTCAATTAGGACGCAGTTCGACCTTCGTTGATCCCTATTCGTGTGCTTGGGGCGAGAGGGCCCAAGTGGTTAGGGCGCGAATTTCCTGACCGGAAGGTCCGTGGTTCGAACCCGACCTCTGCCACTCGACTTCCCCTGTCTAGGCTTGGGCAACCTGGCAGTGCTTGCTTCGGGTGGCATGCCAGTTAGGCACCGGAAGGGTGCTACAGCTGAACGTTTTATTCGTGTACTTCTGCCACTGCATCCGAAATCGCGTAATGTTCGAAAAATCCACTATCTCCAATATTAACATTGGCACAACGATTACGAAGGATGATCAATATGCTGATCTCCTTTGAGACGAGCGCAATCAATGGCCTCATCCTATTTTTTTTATTTTCTTATATATTATAGATTCTTCCGGACATCCAATGTTCGCATGCGCCCCAAGTGAACCGTCACACCGTCGTACTTCTACCGAATCAGACCATCAAAATCCAGGAAGTCAACGCTGTAACCGAAGGGCATCTTTCAACGACTATCAATCAAGATGTTCGCGACACCCAACGAAGATGCAGCAAAGCATGATACTCGATCGAGACCATCAAACAGAAATTAATTCAAGAACCCTACCCCTTGGTCATGATAGTTCCAGATCACACATGATTGGCCAACCGCTTCCGAGTGTACGCACCAACACCATGTCCATTACATCCAACAGGAACCGCTGCGACAGTCGAGGGACAAATCATCACAATTATCCAACTACAAGCATGAACGGATTCGAGCTTGGTCTGTCCGACCGATCCACAGAACAGACGACGCTAGTCACACACTTGATGACAAACACAAGTGCTGAGGGACACGTTAACGATTCGCAAAACGGCCAGGCGAGTCTCACTGAGCCTCTGACGGTCAGTAGTTGCTTGGATACCGGACGGAGTGCATTACAGAAGCTGGTTTCGCCAACACAAGTTGCAGGACCCGTCGGCCGACCAATATCGTTAATGGAGAGTGCAACAATACCGATGCCACCTGCATACCACCAAGGTAGAGATGGGAAACCCAAATGTTATAGGACACTGAGTCAGCGTGCTAGCACAACAGTCCAGAGACCATTTATTACTGCTCCACATTCTCTTATAGGAACATTGGAGAACCCAATACACGCTGGCGCGGACACGACAACCCACAACAGTCAATCCACAGGCGGCAGAAGTGGTATAAGCTACTGGTTTGAAGGACTACCAAGTGGTGGTTTTGGTGGCGTAGATGCTCTGGGCTACGAAAGACCATCTTGGCCTATTCAGCTACCCAGTAATCCACAGTTCCATTCGTTTCAACGCGCAACCATGATTAACCCGAACGGGCATACACTAGATAATAAGCACCGCGTGGATTTCAAACCTAAGGTTCCCAGTGGTGCATTGTCCGGGTAGGTATGGGACAGCGAATGATAATTAAACATCGCACTTCCATATTTGCTTAAAAGTTGTGCCGCGCGGCACGTCCACCGACACAAGCCATTAACTTTTTACTTGTTATAAGTTGCCGGATTCGCTCGCTCCTGACACTTATAACCTGTTTTCCTGTACCTTAATCCCAGTGTACAAGTTTCCCGTCATTTACATTTATCATCTAGAAATTCATTCGCACACAAACTATTGTCCGTTGTCCATTTACTGAGTTCGCAAAAACTGTTTTTGAACGAATAAGTTAGGGCATTACACTGGAATTTTGCGGTTCACAGGTCGAAACATGTTGATATGTTATTGAAAGAACGACAAAATATCAAACCTATAGGTTGCTTTAGTGCGGGATTTAATCATTCTAATAGAATAATCCTCTGTGGGAGCACGAGCCAAGAAAACACAGAATTAAACCTTTGTCATACACGACGGAGTGCATTACAGAAGCTGGTTTCGCCAACACAAGTTGCAGGACCCGTCGGCCGACCAATATCGTTAATGGAGAGTGCAACAATACCGATGCCACCTGCATACCACCAAGGTAGAGATGGGAAACCCAAATGTTATAGGACACTGAGTCAGCGTGCTAGCACAACAGTCCAGAGACCATTTATTACTGCTCCACATTCTCTTATAGGAACATTGGAGAACCCAATACACGCTGGCGCGGACACGACAACCCACAACAGTCAATCCACAGGCGGCAGAAGTGGTATAAGCTACTGGTTTGAAGGACTACCAAGTGGTGGTTTTGGTGGCGTAGATGCTCTGGGCTACGAAAGACCATCTTGGCCTATTCAGCTACCCAGTAATCCACAGTTCCATTCGTTTCAACGCGCAACCATGATTAACCCGAACGGGCATACACTAGATAATAAGCACCGCGTGGATTTCAAACCTAAGGTTCCCAGTGGTGCATTGTCCGGGTAGGTATGGGACAGCGAATGATAATTAAACATCGCACTTCCATATTTGCTTAAAAGTTGTGCCGCGCGGCACGTCCACCGACACAAGCCATTAACTTTTTACTTGTTATAAGTTGCCGGATTCGCTCGCTCCTGACACTTATAACCTGTTTTCCTGTACCTTAATCCCAGTGTACAAGTTTCCCGTCATTTACATTTATCATCTAGAAATTCATTCGCACACAAACTATTGTCCGTTGTCCATTTACTGAGTTCGCAAAAACTGTTTTTGAACGAATAAGTTAGGGCATTACACTGGAATTTTGCGGTTCACAGGTCGAAACATGTTGATATGTTATTGAAAGAACGACAAAATATCAAACCTATAGGTTGCTTTAGTGCGGGATTTAATCATTCTAATAGAATAATCCTCTGTGGGAGCACGAGCCAAGAAAACACAGAATTAAACCTTTGTCATACACTCAGGGGGCGAGATGGCCCAAGTGATTAGAGCGCCAATTTACTGACCGGAAGGTCCGTGGTTCGAATCCGACCTCTGCCTCTCGACTTCCCATGTCTAGGTTGGGCGACCTGGCAGTATCTCAGCCTTCGTGCCTCCTTCGTGTGGCATGGCAGCTAGGCCCTAAAAGGGTGCTACAGCTGGACGATTTTTTTTCATACACCTAGATGCCATATATGTGATCTAGGGAATCCTACTTGGCTTGTACCTGCACAAATGTCTTCATCTTGAATGGTTTTATAAGTAACTGCATGTCGAACCGGACATCTGAAAGCCTCAGATTCACCATCTCTAAACAGGCCTCCGCTTACCCTAAACGAGTCTGTTACCGCTTAGGTGATAGTAGATATGGAAATCCAACGCCAGGAAGTAACGATAGACGAAACGTATCATAGAATTCGCCAATAATAATAATCTTTCAGCAGTAGCAGCCTTTTGGCGTCTAGCTGTCATGCAAATGGTAGGAAGCACCACAGCTGACATATTGTCAGGTTGCTTAAACTTAAACAGGACCAGTCGAGATGATGAGGTTGGGTTCGAACCACGACCCGTTAGCTAGCATCTTAACCACTGAGCTATCTCGAGCCAATAAAATATCGCACACTTATTCCCATTGTCACCACGAGAACGATTCCCAAACGGAATGCCCTTAAGGTTTACGATAAAAACAGGAGTAAATATGCATCCCACGCCGTAATACTAACCCAGAACTCGAACACGACCAATAACGAAGGCGGGATGACGTAGTGGTTAGAGCGCGAATTTACTGACCGGAAGATCCATGGTTTGAACCCGACCTCTGGATCTCGACTTCTCCTGTCTAGGCTTGGGCAACCTGGCGGTAACCCAGCCCTTGTGCCTCCCTCAAGTGGCATGGCAGCTAGGCGCAGAAAGGGTAATATAGCTGAACGATTATTATTATTATTATTACTTACGAATATTACCCACTGCCGGTTTACATCACCGCATGCAGTTAGATAAGTAAGAAGACAACAACGGCTCAAGATAAATTGTTGCGAAACGTCTGTACATCAGACAGGTATGCCAAAATAGGCAAAAAAGAAAGCTTTCCTCGAAAATCCAATTCATGAAGGTTTACAGCTGTACAATCACGGGTGCCTCATCGCCTTCCCAGTCAACGTCATCAACCAATACATCCGCCGCATTCTCTTCCTTTTTGAGTACCTCCGGTTTGATCCCCCAATGAAACCGTTGTTCAAGACTGTGGCAAAATCCCTCGGCTCGCTCACGCAGCGATTGTAGCAATCCACCCTTCGAGTCTAGCGTTGAAGTGCACAAAATATTTCGCAGTAATTTTCGCAGCACCGAAGGCAGGAACGCAGGTTCTGCTAGGTTCGTACGCGGACCAGTGGTTTCAGAGAAGAATAAATCGGCCAGTTCAGCGGTCGAAACAGCCACAGTTTTATCCTCCAGGAACTCCTTGGACTTGGACGCACTACATAACTGATGATATAATACGCTCACGAGATTGATGTACAACTGAGGACGTCGGTAAATGGCCTCTTCGCAGCTAGCTAACAACTGGACAATGCGCCGCCATTGATACCACCCATCCAACACATGAACTGTTGAGGTAGGGAAGGAGAAATATAATATGTTCAAAAGCTGACAAAATAAGTATAAAACATTATGATAAAGAATTTGCAAAAGCAGTTCACAAAGCCCCAGACGCGCAGCGGAATGTCAGCAACCTTACACTACTTGAATCCGAAACAGTAGCAAATAACTGTAGAAACGAAGGCAAATATCAGGGTGCAAAGGTCGGTGCCGTAAACAGGCTCCGGAAAGCAGCCAAAGCACTCAATAAGATAGCGTTTGGAAGTAGCCTAGATCGGTTGGTTTATGTGGCAAGCAAAGACAACCCTTGGGAGTGATTAATTTTGGCTTGATTGTCCGAATGAATACAAAGGCCCGGGTTAAACCCCCGCACGATTCCAGATCACTTCCGCGTGAGAGCTGACAACAGTAGACATCCCGCTTTCAAGGGTTGCCGAAGACCTCACAAGCATACATCTGCACGTCGGCCCACTCAAGCCACACAAGATTCAGTGCGTCACAGTGCAGTTGAACGGCTGATGAATATTCTCAGAACGGGAAGTCACCCTGATCTCTTACGAACCAAAGTGTTTTTAGGATTAGACAGAGATTACTCATGACAGTGATATTGATGAAATTCGATCTGCTTTGATAAATCATCCCATTTCATTGAATTTCTAAACCAGCTTATCAGCCACTGATGAGAAAAACTAGAAAGTCAATCCATTTCAGACATATTCATGCCCTTATGGAACTCAAGGATGTTGGAACTACCGAATACCATCTTGGATGTTTAGAATTTTCTGGCTTTACATAAAGAGATGATGACAGTGGTCTGGTGCTAGACGTGTATGCGGTAAAGAGTACCAGTAGAAGGAACTTATACAAGACACTCAAATGCAGGACAAGTTCAACCTTATTCATAGCGAAAGGCAAGGATCGCTGGCTACACATCAACGGGTAGGAAGGTAAAATTACGTAAGCGACATGGGGTCCCAACGAACCCTATGTCCCCTACCGAAGCATTCTTTACGAAACCAGAAACTGCACTAAACTAGATATATCCGGTTTCCATGTTACCTATCAGTTCGCCTCCAACAGTTCACATACTTCCAATCTGCTTTAGCTACATTGTAGCTTGAAAAACGCATGGAAATGTACAGCATCGTGGGCTCTCAGGTGTAAGTATATCCGACGAAACTGTCGTTGATAACGGCGACGAGCTGGCTCAAGTTTCGGAAACACACCTGACTGAGGACTAGTAATCACGGTTGGATACTTGTTTTAAGCCGACTAGACAATACATTTGATCCATCAAAGAGTATCTACCGGAACGTCCAGCGTGAACGGATGAGTTGGATGTATTAGGTGAGACGATAACAGCAGAGCGACACAAACAGAAGAGTTTCACCGGTCGAAGTCAAAAACAAAAATCGCGTGATATTTTTATTAAGATCGACCGTCTAAACATTTGGGACGAGTGCTGTTCCACAAGAGAATCACAAAGAATAATTGATGTGTTGAAGGAACGGACGAAATCGCAGTCACTGAGGAGTTTTTCGGTTGACCACATTCGTGCAAACTAACTTAATTTTTCAAGTTGCTGGTAAAATGTTGCATAGCGACCAACAATTCCAGGAATCCTGGACTGCTACAAAAGCCTGACACTTATTTTATCATCTATAAGAACGGATAAAATTAAGGACGACGTGTCGTACACTCATCTACTGTCCGTTAGGTTTTTTGGTTAATTCGTCCGACGAGCCACACCGACAAACCGTTTTAAGAATAATTTTGTTATCCCTAGTTCATTCAATAACAACCAGTCGAAATGGCATTAAAAGGACGAAGAAATTGGACTACACGGGACAAGTTGTTGGTAAGAAAAGGTTGCAAAAGCGTGAAAGCCACGCAGATAAGGAAGTGGTAACTCACTCAGTAGAAAAGTTACGTAACTGAATTGCAATTCAGCCAGTAGCTCCCGCTCCTCTAGAGATAGTGAATTTCCGCTATCTGGCTGATTGAGCTCCACATCCGTCGCACCCAAATTAGTTGCCGTGTCTGCTATAACACGCAAAACTGAGTCCAACGTATATGTTTGGTCAATTCCGTGGGCAGTGACTTCCGCGGGATTTGAGTTTGGTGGGTTTTCTGGTTAATTCGTCCGACGAGCCACACCGACAAACCGTTTTAAGAATAATTTTGTTATCCCTAGTTCATTCAATAACAACCAGTCGAAATGGCATTAAAAGGACGAAGAAATTGGACTACACGGGACAAGTTGTTGGTAAGAAAAGGTTGCAAAAGCGTGAAAGCCACGCAGATAAGGAAGTGGTAACTCACTCAGTAGAAAAGTTACGTAACTGAATTGCAATTCAGCCAGTAGCTCCCGCTCCTCTAGAGATAGTGAATTTCCGCTATCTGGCTGATTGAGCTCCACATCCGTCGCACCCAAATTAGTTGCCGTGTCTGCTATAACACGCAAAACTGAGTCCAACGTATATGTTTGGTCAATTCCGTGGGCAGTGACTTCCGCGGGATTTGAGTTTGGTGGGAATAGCGGATTTTTTGGAATCTTGCTGAAGCGAATCTGCATTCAAACAGAAGTGATCGCCACATACTTTGATCATCAGAAAAGTAGCACGGCTATATGCAACGTACCGCAAACAAGTATCCTGATTCGGATCATTACGAAAACTTCATAGGTAATAACTAATCGTCATTATATATATATAATGACGATTAGTTATTACCTATGAAGTTTTCGTAATGATCCGAATCAGGATACTTGTTTGCGGTACGTTGCATATAGCCGTGCTACTTTTCTGATGATCAAAGTATGTGGCGATCACTTCTGTTTGAATGCAGATTCGCTTCAGCAAGATTCCAAAAAATCCGCTATTCCCACCAAACTCAAATCCCGCGGAAGTCACTGCCCACGGAATTGACCAAACATATACGTTGGACTCAGTTTTGCGTGTTATAGCAGACACGGCAACTAATTTGGGTGCGACGGATGTGGAGCTCAATCAGCCAGATAGCGGAAATTCACTATCTCTAGAGGAGCGGGAGCTACTGGCTGAATTGCAATTCAGTTACGTAACTTTTCTACTGAGTGAGTTACCACTTCCTTATCTGCGTGGCTTTCACGCTTTTGCAACCTTTTCTTACCAACA